CGCCCCCCGCTCACGACCCACCTCGCCCTTAAATCAGCTGCTTTTTAAACGCTTTACGGGCGAAAGGGGGGAATGCCAGTTCGAGCCCTCGAGCCGTGCTCGGCACGTGAGCGTGAGCCTCTGCCCTCCCTCGCCTCTGCCGCACCTTCCGTGCGCCTCACGTGCTATATTCACTTAAGCTCCGATGTGGGAGAGCGTATGGGAGAGCGTAAAGCGTAAGCGTAAAGCGCAGCGGCTGGGCGTAAATGAGCGGAGTGGGGGTAGGCGCCCTAACCTCATCTTGGCTCATTTTTGGTTTTGACGAGTGTTGAAATGCATTTTCTGGTGTTGTCGTGCATTCGGACTACGTTGCGGTGATAATATGACCATTTTAAAGAAGATGTCATACAAAATTTGTGCCAATGTAAGGTTAGGTCGCTACCCGAGCGCTACGCTTTCACGCTTACGCTTACGCTCTCCCATACGCTCTCCCATATCGAAGCTTAAGTGAATATAGCAACGCACCTGTCCCTCAGCTATGGACGTATGTACACCGCCGACAACGCTCACCACCCCCGACCTCTCCCCTCCCGCCCCCGCTCCCACCCCGTCCCTTTTCCGTGCCTTTCCTTCACCACCTTCACCACCCTCGCCCCCTCGTCCGACGGCTCCTCGCCCCTCCCCTCCCCCCTGCGTGCGCTCAGTAACGTCGTATGGGTTGCCTGCCTACCCGGCGCTCCACGGCTCAGTTTATTCGTGCGCTTGACGAAACGGATGGACGCCAGTCGTCTCTGCAGCCGACTGACTCCTGCGTCTTCCTATACGGAATTCACATCTCCCCGGTCGCATGCACGACGTTATTCGAGGTGCAGTTCAGGCCGCAATCCGTAAACCGTAAACGGAGGTAACGTCGGCCCACCGTGGTGACGTAGACGTAACTTTGCCCAGGGCCTAAAATTGTCTTGAAAATGCCAATATTGTGCTGCAGGGTCCACTGTAGCTTGCAGTGAATTCACCGTCAGCTACAGTGAACCCTGCAGCACCGTAGTAGCATTTTAAGGACCACAATTTTAGGCCCTAGGCAAAGTTACCCCGGTGGGAAAAAGTTACCCCCGTTTACGGCACCTTAACCGCGTTCTGTACCGTGCAATATCTAGTCCTGCTGTCTTGCTTCCGTGTTCTCGTTCTCCGAGACGCACCTCTCCAGACTGGGGATTTTAATTTTCCAAAAAGTATTGTTAGAAAATTTCAAGATAAAATTTTTAGACACTCCTCAAGACTGTTTCTACCAGAAGGATAAAGGTGCCCCCCCCCTCCCCTTACGCTTCTCCTCCTGTGGCCTGTTTGGGGGGACTGTTTCTTTCTTTTTTCTATTTTTTCCCCTAAAAAGTTTCTCTTCGTTCTTCATTTTTCCTGAAAATTTTCGGACTTTAAAATACCTCATCGAGACGGCTCTCCCCCGGCCGTGCCAAACATTACCGAACCTAACCTTGGTGCCGCTCCGTAAAGGTTGGGCTGCTTCCTTATTCATGCCTGTGGGGGGAGAGGCTGCGTGGGGCCTAAAGGCGGGAGAGCGGGGGAGAGCGGGGGAGAGAGGGAGAGTGCGTCGGTGCCTCGGAGAGTGCGCACTGCAGTCCGGAGGACGACCTTTCACCTGAGCCCGCCGGCCCCGGCCCGGCCTGGACAGCAACAGGCGTGGCTCGCCAGCACGGCCAGTGTCGGGGCGGCGAAGGGAGGGGCGATGTAGATGACCGTCTGTCCCGCTTCCTGTGCGGAATAGAATCAAATCAATGGACTGAGTCACTCTTCCCGATTCAGGATGCGAGTGAAGTTCTCGACTATAAATGTGGTAATGCCTCTCACGCGTGTGTGGCTGTCGTCCACCCTATCGGCGGGGCGGGAGGGCCGCGACTCTGTTGTGCATCGCGCCATACGAACGACGCCCCTCCCCTCCTCCCCCCCCTCAGCTGCAGGTCCGCGCCCCGCCCCCCGCTGCCGGATGGGCCGAGACTGTCTGTGTCTGTTTGTTGCGGACCATTTGGAAGTGTGATGCCGCGGGGAGGCGGGCAGGATGACCCTGGGCGATCACCCCGCGCCGGCTCATCTGCGTGCCTCCTCGCCTCGCGCCCCGCGCCCTCCTCGTCGGCCCCCACCCTTTCCCCCGCCCCTTGTGCTCTCGCCGCGCCTTTCTCCCACCCCCTTCTCTTTCTCCCTCATCACCATTACTCTCTTTCTCACCCGCCTTTCTTTTTGTCTCGTGGGTGGGGAGGTAGTGAAAGGGGGTAGGCGGAGGAGGGTACCGTGGCGGAGGATGCGGTCAACGTCGTGTACATTATGTACTTACCAAACACACGAACTCTTTCGGCACAGGCGAGGGATTGAGCGCCGTGCGCTATGCGTGCTGCGCCATCCGTAGGCCCCGCGGGCCCCGCCCGCTGGGCTGCAGGTTGTTTGACCTTGATAAGCGGCGTGCACCGGCATAAGCAACTCGACAAACATGAGCAGTAAGAGCAGCTCGACGACCCACCACCACCAGCAGGATCACGACGACTCATTCATGGATTCGCATCTTTGTGGCAAACGCTTCGCATCCAGCTTCCTCTTTCCCCTATCTCTTTCAAGCATCCATCATCCGACCCTTTTCCTTCTAACAGAGTGAGTGAGTGAGTGAGTGAGTGAGTGAGTGAGTGAGTGAGTGAGTGAGTGAGTGAGTGAGTGAGTGAGTGAGTGAGTGAGTGAGT